GTTAATGAGGCGGGATTATCAGCAGTTATGTTGATGAGACAGGACTCAATCTACAGGATTAGGTTGGGTATTAAGCCAATCTCTTTTGATATATCAAAAGACAGTAGCGAGTAAAGAGACATAGGGACCTCATACCACCAAGAAAGCAGCGACAGGAGCAGAGCATGTCCTTTGGACCTGAGGACCCTGCGCTGAAAAGTTCCTAGATCAGGAGAAGATTGATGACAAGGACCTTCCTCCAGAGCCGACGGAGAAGGTCTTCCCCTGGAGCTGGCGCCCTGAATTTGGACTTGTAGCCTACTGGACTGTGAGAGAATAAAATTCTCTTTGTTAAAGCCATCCACGTGTGGTATTTCTGTTACAGCAGCACTAGATGACTGAGACAGTGCCCTTCTTCCAGACCTCTGTCCTTCCCAGGAGGCCCTGACGGTGGTCCCAGGCTTATCCCTCCGTCTCTCCGTCCTGGATAACTAGAGTGATGCTTGGCCCTGGACGGAGCACCTAGAATACACGGTGCCTCATCTGATCCTCCCGCCCGTGACCCACTGCCACAGAGTCGATCCCAACTCATAGTGACTCGATGTGTTACAGAGTACAGCGGCTCCATAGGGTTTTCTTGGCTGTAATCTTTATGGTGGCAGATTGCCAGGCCTTTCCTCTGCAGAGCTGCTGGGTGTGTTTGAACCGCCAACCTTTCAGTTAGTAGTCGAGTGCAAACCACTTGCGCCACCTGGGTGCCTTCTCTAGCCCGAGGGGGTGTTGTTTGTACCTGGTTCACAAGGAAAAGCTGAGTGAGGCCGATCTCAGTCTGCCGCCAGTGACTTGCCTCTCAGTCCCGGCCTAGCCTCTCCAGGTGGCTCTCATCACGGATCTCCTATCCTACCTCCAACCCTTCCCCAACAAGTGCACTCACCCATCCAGGCCTCCCCTCTCCCGGACCCTGCCTGTCCCCTCCAGTACATCCCCTCAGCCCAGCCTGGGCAGCCGGGATGCCACAGAGCCTCACCCTTTCGGGTCCCTGATTGTCCTCAGGACAAATCCAGCTCCCAGGCCACCTATCAGACCCAGGACAGGTTCCTGCCACACTCTCTGGCTTCCTCAGGCCCTCACTCGGAGCTGCTTGCTGCGGATGCCCCTCGGCCCTGTGGGGTTCTCATGGTCCTGGGGCGAGGACCCAGTGACTGGGCCCTGGGTACACGTGTGCGCTTCTCCAGCAGGGCCTGGGTCTTCTGATTACTATAGCAACAGTAATGTAAATGCCCAGGTTCTCTTTAGTCTTCACACCAACACGCAGAGAAACCAAACCCGTTGCAGTGGAGTCAGTTTCAACTCATGGTGACCCCCATGTGGAGTAGAACTGCACCATTGGGTTTTCTTGACATTAATGTTTATGGGAAGGCGCCCTGGTGGCACAGTGGTTAAAGTGCTTGGCTGCTAAGCGAAAGATCAGTTGTTTGAACTCACCAGCCACTCTGAAGGAGAAAGATGTGGCAGTCTCCTTTCATAAAGATTTACAGCCTTAGAAACACTAAGGGGGCAGTTCTACTCTGTCCTATAGGGTTGCTATGAGTTGCAATCTACTCGACTAGTGGGTTTGGTTTGGGATCTTTACAGAAGCAGATTGCCAGGCCTTTCTTCTGTGGCACTGCTGGATGGGTTCCAATGGCCAACCTCTCAGTTAGTAGACAAGTGCAAACTGTTTGCACCACCCAGGGACCTTCACACCAACGTCCTAGGTGGTGGTGTTGTTTGGTGCCATCAACTTGGTTCTGACTCATAGCAACCCTGTGAACTCCAGAACGAAACACTGCCTGGTCCTGTGCCATCCTCACAATTGTTGTTATGCTTGAGCCCACTGCTGCAGCCACTGTGTCAGTCCATCCCATCGAGGTTCTTCCTCTTCTTTGCTGACCCTCTACTTTACCAAGCACGATGTCCTTCTCCAGGGACTCGTTCCTCCTGGTAACGTGTTCAAAGTATGTGAGACAAAGTCTCGCCATCCTCACTTCTAAGGAGCATTCTGGCTATACTTCTTCCAAGAGAGATTTGTTCATTCTTCTGGTAGTCCGTGGTATATTCAATATTCTTCACCAACACCACAATTTAAAGGTGTCAATTCTTCTTCAGTCTTCCTTATTCATCGTCCAGCTTTCACATGCATATGAGGCGACTGAAAACACCATGGCTTGGGTCAGGAGCACCTTAGTCTTCAAGGTGACATCTTTGTTTTTGAACACTTCAGAGAGGTCTTTTGCAGCAGATTTGCCCAGTGCAATGCGTCTTTTGATTTCTTGACTGCTGCTTCCATAGGTGTTGATTGTGGATTCAAATAAAATGAAATCCTTGACAAATTCAATTTTTTCTCCATTTATCATGATGTTGCTTATTGGTCCAGTCATGAGAATTTTTGTTTTCTTTACGTTAAGGTGTAATCCATACTGAAAGCTCTAGTTTTTGATCTTCGTCAATAAATGCTTCAAGTCTGCTTCACTTTCAGCAAGCAAAGTTGTGTCATCTGCATATCGAAGGTTGTTAATGAGTCTTCCTCCAATCCTGATGCAACATTCTTCTTCACACAGTCCATCTTCTCGGATTATTTGCTCAGCATACAGATTGAAAAGATACAACCCTGACGCGCACCTTTCCTGACTTTAAACCACACAGTATCCCTTTGTTCTGTTCGAACAACTGCCTCTTGGTCTATGTACAGGTTCCTTATGAGCACAATTAAGTGTTCTGGAATTCCCATTCCTTGAAATGTTATCCATAATTTGTTATGATCCACACAGTCAAATGCCTTTGTACAGTCAATAAAATACAGGTAAACATCTTTCTGGTATTCTCTGCTTTCAGCCAGGATCCTTCTGACATCAGCAATGATGTCCCGGGTTCCATGTCCTCTTCTGAATCCTGCTTGAATTTCGGGCAGTTCCCTGTCAATGTACCACTGCAAGCGTTTTGAATGATCTTCAGCAAAATTTTACGTGTGTGCGATATTAATGATATTGTTCGATAATTTCTGCATTCCGTTGGATCATCTTTCTTCGGAACAGCCACAAATAGGGATCTCTTCCAGTTGGTTGGCAGACAGCTCTCTTGCAAATTTCTTGTCATAGACAAGTGAGAGCTTTCAGTGCTGCATCCATTTGATGAAACATCTCAGTTGGTATTCCATCAATTCCTGGAGCCTTGTTTTTCACCAATGCCTTCAGTGCAGCTTTGACGTCTTCCTTCAGTACCATCAGTTCTTGAAAATATGCTACCTCCTGAAATTGTCGAACGTCAACCATTTCTTTTTGGTACAGTGACTCTGTGTAGTTCTTCCATCTTCTTTTGATGCTTCTTGTGTTGTTTAATACTTTCCCTGTAGAATCCTTCAATATTGCAACTTGGGGCTTGAATTTTCTCTTCAGTTCTTTCAACTTGAGAAATGCCATGCGTGTTCTTCCCTTTTAGCTTTCTAACTCCAGGTCTTAGCACCTTTCATTATAATACTTTACTCTGTCTTCTCGAGCCGCCCTTTGAAATCTTCTGTTCAGCTCTTTTACTTCATCATTGCTTCCCTTCGCTTTAGCTACTCAATGTTCAAGAGCAAGTTTCAGAGTCTCTTCTGACATCCCTTTTGGTCTTTTCTTTCTTTTAATGACCTCTTGTTTTCTTCATGTATGATGTCATTCCACACCTCTTCTGGTCTCCAGTCATCAGTGTTCAATGCATCAAATCTAGAGATGGCCTCTAAATTCAGGTGGAATATACTCAAAGTCATACTTTGGCTCCTGTGGACTTGTCCTAATTTTCTTCAGCTTCACCTTGAACTTGCATATGAGCAATTGATAATCTGCTCTGTAGTCAGTCCCTGGCCTTGTTCTGACTGATACTGAGCTTCTCCATCATCTCTTTCCACAGATGTAGTCGATTTGATTCCTGGGTATTCCATCTGGCAAGGTCCACGTGTATAGTTGCTGTTTATGTTGTTGAAAACGGTATTTGTAATGAAGAAGTCTTGTTCTTGCAAAATTCTAACATGCGATCTCCAGCATCAATTCTATCACCAAGGCCATATTTTCCAACTACTGATCCTTTTTCTTTGTTTCCAACTTTTGCATTCTAATCACCAGTAATTGTCAATGCATCTTGATTCCATGTTTGATCAGTTTCAGACTGCAGAAGTTGGTAAAAATTTCAATTTCTTCGTCTTTGGCCTTAGTGGTTGGTGTGTAATTTGAGTAATAGTCATATTTACTGGTCTTCCTGGTAGGTGTATGGATTTTATCACATCACTGACAGTGCTGTACTTCAGGATAGATCTTAAAATGTTCCTTTTGACGATGAATGCAACATCAGTTCCTCTTCAATTTGTCATTCCGGCATAGTAGACCATATGATTGTCCTATTCAAAATGGCCAATACCATCATAGGCAGGAATTAAAATTTTCTCCATTTTACATAAGTGTTGGGATTCCAACCAGGCCCCTTGCCTCACGCAGTTCTCGGCATGAAGTCGGGTCCGAAGAGACCCAAGGTCAGTTGACGTCCTAACACAGCCGCTAGACACCCGCTGGGACTCAGCTAGGTCTCTGGCTGGACGTTCTGGAGCGGGAGCCAATTGGGGCTGGAGCCAATGCGGCGGGAGCCTATCCGCGGCGGCAACCAATCCTCAGCGGAAGCCTACACGAGGGAGCAGAGGCAGTGCGCACGCGCACCGGCTCCCCGCCTCCGCAGGCGCTCCGACTACAATTCCCAGGATGCACCACGACCGGCGCTGGTGCGACCCTTTTCAAACCGGCCAATCCGGCCGCCCGAGCGGCCTCGCGCGGCATTTAAACCTTCCGCGGAGGCGCAGTGTCCCGGCGGCCGCTCAGGGTGAGGGGTGGATGGGGCCGGGTGGCCTAGGTGGGCCAGGTGGCTCAGGGCTGGGAGTGGGAGGGCCGCGCGCCGCCCGGAGCCCGGGCTGGCTGGAGCCGCAGGTCCCCTCTTTCGCGCCCGCGGGGGCCGTGAGAATGGGGCTCCTGGGCCGCCGAACCCCAAGACCGCCCGAGAGCTTGGGATTTCGTTATCCCCGCGTCCTGTCGTCCAGGCCTGTAACTCCCGGGGCTCCGGCCTGGTGGACGCCGTCCTGCGCGGTCTTCCTACCTCCCGGCGGCATGCTGCGTTTCGGGGCGGCCGCCGGGTCCTCTCCGCTTCTACGCGCGACCCCCAGCCTTCCGCCCCTGTGTGTCTCGCAGCGGCCCAGCCGCAGAGCCCTGGCCTTGTCACCTGTTGACGTCTGCCCCTTCTTTCCGCAGGGACTTCCTGACAGCTCTCTCCATGGACGGAGGAGACCGCAGCGAGGGGCCTGCAGCCAGCCCCGCGGGACAGGCGAAGACCGACGCTCGTAAGAAGGATGGTAAGGTCCGCAGTGAAGGCGGGGGTAGGTTTAGTGCTTCTGTGAGGGTTTATTGACGGATTTATTAAGCACCCATTACGCAGCCTGCACCCATGGGAGACATGGTCCCCGCCCTCAAGGAGTTCCTAAGTCGAAAGTGAAGTGTCTCCTCATCTCTGTCCCTCAGCCACCCAGCTGTCCCCTCTCACTTCCCCCCGAGGCCTTGGATGTCAGCTAGTGCAAGCCAACACGTGTACAGTGTAGACCGATCCCCCATTTTTATAGTGTTCTACATCTTGTTTTCGTCTTGATGATGGCTGGGTATCAACATATAAAGAGTTTTCTTATTCTTTTCTTACTATGTAGTGTAGGCCTATAACCCAGTTACACCCGTGAGGGAAGTGCTCCTTAGAACAATCATCCGTATGAGACCAAAAGGGCAACATCTGCCCAAAAGCCAAGATGAGAAGGCAGGAACCTGTTGCCTTTGCCTTAGAGTCGGTTGCGACTCATAGTGACCCTACAGGAGAGAGTAGAACTGCTCTATACGGTTTCCAAGGAGCGACTGGTGGATTCGAACTGCCGACCTTTTGGTTAGCAGCCATAGCCCTTAACCACTACGCCACCAGGGTTTCCAAGAAGGCAGGAAGGGGCAGGAAAACCAGAGGAATGGAAATGGGAACTTAGGGTGGTAATGGGGAGAATGCTGACACATTGTGGGGAGTGCACCCAATGTCAGGGAACAATTTGTGCATTAACTATTGAATGGGAGACTAATATGCTCTGTAAACCTTCACCTAAAGCCCAATTAAAAAAAAAATATATTGCATTGGATTATTTAATGAACATTTGCTGAGCTCCTACTACATGCTAGACACCATGCTAAAATGGAAATCCTCTAGGAGTTCTCCATAAACATGTATTTCACTCCTCAAAAAAAAAAGGGGGGGGAATCAGGATTAGATTATTTTGCATTATTCCTTTTTCTTTTATTGTGGTGAAAATATACAGAACAAAACATATGCCATCTGTCTTAGTCATCTAGTGCTGCTATAACAGAAATACCACACGTGGATGGCTTTAACAAAGAGAAGTTTATTCTCTCACAGTCCAGTAGGCTACAAGTCCAAATTCAGGGCATTAGCTTCAGGGGAAGGCTTTCTCTGTCAGCTCTGGAGGAAGGTCCTTGTCATCGATCTTCCCTTGATCTAGAAGCTTCTCTGCTCAGGAATCTCAGGTCCAAAGGACACGCTCTGCTCCCAGCACTGCTTTCTTGGTGATATGAGGTTCCCATGTGTCTCTCCACTTTTATATCTCAAAAGAGATTGGCTTAAGACACTATCCAATCTTGTAGACCTCATCAGTGTAACTGCCGCTAATCCATCTTATTAGATCATAGTGATTGAATTTGCAACACATAAGGAAATCACATCAGAGTACAAAATGGTATACAGTTATACAATACTGGGAATCATGACCCAGCCAAGTTGACAGATATTTTTGGGGGACACAGTTCAATCCATGACACCATCTCAGCAATTTCCACATGTACGGTTCAGTGATATTGATTACATTATTCAAGTTGTGCACACCTTCTTGATATCCTTTTCCAAATCGGCATTACTCTTATTTTTGAGTGAGGCTGAACTTGTTGTCATATACTTAAGAACATGTCATTTTATTCTCTGTGAATTACCAGTTCATATCCTTTGTCGATTTTTTGGTTAGGGAGTTAATTGTTTTCTGTAGGTGCTCTTATAAACCCTTTGTCTGTGATTATCAGTTGCAAATATTCTTTTCCCTGCTTCTTGTTTCTTTTAACTTTGTTCATGGTATTTTTGCCGTGCAGAGATTTTTAAAATTTTTATATATTTGGAAAATATGTGATCTTGTATTTGTTGGTGTCCAATTTGGCATAACAGTTAGGCCTCTGTACTCCCAAGTTATGAAATAATTTCCCTATGATTTCTTCTCGTTCCTTTGTTGTCGCTAGGTACTGCTGAGTTGGTTCCAACTCATAGCGACCCGATAGACAACAGAACGAAACACTGCCCAGTCCTGCCCCATCCTCACAATCGTTGTTATGCTTGAGCCCATTGTTGCAGCCACTGTGTCAATACATCTCATTAAAGGTCTTCCTCTTTTTCGCTGACCCTCTACTTTACCAAGTATGATGTCCTTCTCCAGGGATTGGTTCCCCCTGATAACATGTCCAAAGTATGTGAGACAAAGTCTCGCCATCCTTGTTTCTAAGGAGCATTCTTGTCTGTACTTCTTCCAAGACAGATTTGTTCCTTTAGTACTTCGTTTTTTTTTTTTTTTTTCAATTAAGTCTTTGATTTATTTGACATTTACCCAGGCATGGTATGAGGTATAGATCAAACTTCATTGTTTTTTTCCAAAGGGTTATCTAGTTTATCTCGACACCATTTATTGATATGTTCTTATTTGATATGTTACTTTTATGATACACTAATATTTCTTATATCCATCTTGCATATTTTTGTTAGGTTTATTCATAGGTATTTTGTATTTTTTGTTACTACTATAAATGAGATCTTTGTTCCATTATATCTTTTAACTGTTGTTTGTATAAGTGAAAGCCGTTAATTGCTGTAATAATTTTCTTTACTAATTATATTTGTTTTCAGTTGATTTTTTTTTTGTATTTTTTATTTCACTCTGCTTTTTTCTTTTTAATTGTGCTTTAGATGAAAGTTTACCAGCTCGAGTCAATTTCTCATTCAAAAATTTATCCACATATTGTTTTGTGCCATTGGTTGCAATCCCCTGATTTTCTTCTTGTGTTTATAATCTCTGCACCATGATAATTCTACTTCTGAATTCTTCCCTTCGTCTAGTTGTGTTGGTTGATGTGTCCAGAATAATCTTAAGGGTTGTGGTGCTAGGAGGCATCATTTCTGTGTACCTTGTTTTAAAGGCATTGCTTCTACAATTTTCTGTTAAGCCTGATGCTGGCTTGTGAGTTAATTTGCAGGTAGGTTGTGGCCGTTCTCACTGTTCATCAGTACTCCCAGGTACTTGATAGGATTGTACTTCCCCACCCACTTGAAGTTAGATTTGGCTGGTGAAATGGGAGTGCTGTGCTCCGTGTCACTTCTGCGTGTTGTTAATTACTTGTTGTCGAGTTGATTCTGACTCATAGTGACCGAAGTCTTTAAGACCCAGTATGGAGTTTACCACTTTCCTTCCCCTCTGTGGAGACCAGCAGTGTAGCTGTTGGTGGAGGCTCTGACTGCCTGGGTCCTGGAGTGAGGAGGACAGGGGGCAGAGCCCCCGGCCCAGCCTCAGTAGATGTGGAGTTTGAGTGAGGAACAGACCGTTGTTGTTTTAAGCTGCTTGAGATGTGGGGGTTGTTTGTTACTGCAGCAGAAGTTGTTGGTTGCTGTTGAGTCACCTCCAGCTCGCAGCGACCCCGTGTACAACAGAACAAAATGCCGCGCGGTCCTGCGCCATCTTCACAGTCATTTGTACACTTGAGTCCATTGTTGTGGCCACTGTGTATTTTGAGTGCCTCCCAAGCTAGGGGGCTCATCTTCAGCACTACCCCAGACAATATTCTGTTCTGGTCCATAGGATTTTCACTGGTTGGTTTTTGGAAGTAGATCTCCAGGGCCTTTCTTCCTAGTCTGTCTTAGTCTGGAAGTTCCACTGAAAACTTGTCCACTATGGGTGACCATGCTCGTATTTGAGACACTGGTGGCATAGTTTCCAGCAACACGCAAGCCAGCACAGTAGAGACAAGACGGGTGGTGGCAGGATAAGTTAGCCTATTCTAACTGATAAAATACATTTGTTCCTATTTTAGAAGGAACGCTTCTGGTGTTTTCCCATCAGACCTGATTTTGGCTTTTCGTTGAGATAGATACATCCTTAACCTGATAAAATATATCTATTACTTTTTACTAAAAGTTTTAAAAATCAGTGTGTGTTGCATTTAACATATGCCTTTTCCGTATATATGGAGATGATCACGTGGTTTGCCCCTTAGGTCTAGCAATATAATGAATTTTATTATTAGATTGTATAAAATTAAAGCATTCTAACAGTCCTGAAGTAAACCTCACTTGGTCGTGATATATTATCATTATTATTGTTATTATTATTTGATGTATTGCTGGGTTCTGTTTATTAATATTCTTATTTAGAATTTTTATGTTGATATAAGTGAGATTGGTCTGTAGCTTTCTTTACTGAGCAAACTTTATAGATTTTTGGTATCATAATTATGCTTGCTTCATAGAAATGAGTTGGGAGTTTTCCTTTTTCTGTCCTCTGGAGCAATATAAACAGCATTGGAATGATACGCTCTTTAAAGGGTTGATAGAATTAGCCTATGAAATTACCTGGGACTTACCCCCTTTTGGAAAGGATAGCTCTTTGGTAAATTTTTCCAGTTATTTTATGATTATTGAACTGTTAAGACTTGTTTTCTCTCTTCCGGAGTCAGTTTTGATTAATTGTATTTTCCTAGAAAATTATCCATTTCAGCCAGGTTTTTAGGGTTGTTTGCATGGAGTTGAGCAAGCTAGCTTATGAATCTTTTAATTTCTTCTCTTGATGGTGACTTCCCCCTTATTTGTGCATTTGTGCTTTCTACCTTTTCCTTGGTTAGGTAATTAGGACTTAATTAGGACGAGCGTATTTTTAAATTTTACGATTTTGGTAAGCATACTGCATTGTGTGTGAGGATGAAATAAGATGTTATTTGTGACACTGCCGTGTATTCCTTCCAGGATTGGGATAAATACGTTCGGTGCGTTTCCCTAAACATTTGCTAAGTGTTGATCCTTTGCTGGGCATTGGGGAGTTCAGAGAAGCGTGAGGCGTTTGTCATCTTGGAGGAACTTACAGTCTAGTTGGGGCGATAGAACAGTGAGGCTAGTGCAGGGATAGAGGTTGAGCTGGGGTGCTGTGGGAGCCCTGGGGTGGGACCTGGTGCAGGGGTGCAGTTGCCCAGCAGTTGTTGTTGGCTGGGGAATTCAGGGAAGCGCGAGGCATTTGTCTTCTTGGAGGAACTTAGTCTAGTTGGGTCGATGGAATAGTGAGGCTAGTACAGTGATAGAGGTCAGTTCGGGGTGCTGTGGGAGCCCTGGGTGGGAGCTGGTGCCCAGCAGTTGTTAGCTGCCTCGAGCTGGACCCTGACTTATGGCAACCCCATGCACAGCAGAACAGAACACTGCCCGGTCACATGCCATCCCCACGAAGGGTTAGATATTGGACCGTGGTGATCTGTAGGGTTTTCTTGGTTGATTTTCAGAAGTAGATTGCCAGGCCTTTCTTCCTTGTCCATCTTAGTCTGGAAGCTCTGCTGAAACCTGTTCAACATCATAGCAACATGCTAGCCTCCACTGACAGATGAGTGGTAGCTGCGCTTTAAGTACATTGGCTGGGAATTGAACCCGGGTCTCCGGCATGGGAAGCAAGAATTCTACCACTGAACCGCCACTGCCCTCTGCCCCAACAGAGGAACCGACTATCCCGGGAGCCTGGGGTCTGTTACGTGGAGTCTGCATGTAAACAGACGGGTACGGAGGAGGGCGCTATGATGAAATATGGACGGGGTACATGGTGCCATTTTATTTGGGGGTTCAGGAAAGACCCCAAAGAGGAGATGACCATTAGTCAGCAAATACGTGTTGACTTCCTGCTGTGCGGTTGCGTACTACTGTATTCCTTTGTGAAAGATGAACAGGTGTTTTGTGGTTGCCCTGGTGGCACAGTGGTTAAGAGCTCAGCTGCTCACCAAAAGGGTGGCAGTTTGAATCCGCCAGCCACCCCTTAGAAACCCTATGGGGCAGTTCTCCTCTGTCCTGTAGGGTTCCTCTGAGTCAGAATTGATTTGATGGCAATGGGTTTGGTTTGGTTTTGGTTAAGAGGGGGATTTAATCCTAGCAGACCTGAGGCAGGTTGTCTTTTGAAAATGTTCTATACCTGGAAGTGACTTGTCTGTTACTGAGAAGCTGGTTGAATGACTCGAGAATGCATTTTAGATTATATCTTAAAGATAAGGATTTATACTTTCAGGGTGGCTGAGCACACACAGAATGGCTAATTCTATTTTAGAAAGAAAACAAAAAGTAAGATAATCTAGAGCTCCCTATGAAACTGTGACGATTGAAATAGAATAAAAACCCATTGCCGTCGAGTCGATTCCGACTCCTAGCGACCTTACAGAACAGAGTAGAACTGCCCCGCAGGATTTCCAAGGAGCAGCTGGTGGATTCAAACTGCCCACCTTTTGGTGAGCAGCTGAGCGCTTAACCACTGCGCCACCAGGGCTTCCATTGAATAGGATAGGCTCTACTTTTTGGGAGTGAAATTTCAAAATAGTTTTGATGGCTCTAGAAACAGGTCGTAGTTTTCTCTTCATCAACCCCAGCCCTGAAATAACAGCAGACTTTTCCCCCGCAGACGTGCTTCTTCTGGCTGATGAGACGTTTGACTTTGACCTCTCCTTGTCTTCTTCAAGGTAAACCTGAGTTTTGTTCCCTTGCCTTGAGCTAACCACATTCGGCGAACGCAGTGTTACTCATAATCCTTTTCTTTAAAAATAGTGCGAATGAAGATGATGAAGTCTTCTTTGGACCTGCTGGGCATGAAGACAGACGCGTTGCTGCCAGCGTGGAGTTAAATAACCCAATTCCCGAAGAACCTCTTTTAGCAGCGTGTGGAAGTCGCTTTCCCTGGAGTCCTCTCACAGGGGAGAAGTTTGCGGAAGTCTATAAAGAAGCTCATTTGCTGGCTCTACAGATCGAAGGCAACAGCAAAAACAAGGCCACCGACGCCAAGAAGCCCGGAGGCCCTGGAGACCAGGACGTGGAAATATTTGTGCAGGAATCAAAATTGAAAGCGAACATTTTTGAGAAAGGAAGTGAAATGAAGAAGAGCCCCACATCACTTAAGAGGGAGACGTACTACCTGTCGGAGAGCCCCCTGACGGGCCCGCCATGCTCAGGGCTTCAGCCCCCCTCAGGCCTGGCCCTGCACCCTGGCCCTGCCGAGGCCGGCCTCCCCCGGACACGGGAGCCCCATCCCTCTTCTCGTTCTTCTTTGGCAGTGGAGCCAAGCGCCGTTCACCCTCCAAGTCAGGCAGTAACACAGAAAAAGATCGTAAGCAGATTGCAGCAGCCCCGAGCTTCATCTGTCAGAGGAAAAAGCATTCTCTCAGCTGTGGAGAAGGTAGAATCACGTACCCGCCATTTACCTGGGGAGTGGGCACTCCCTGGCTTCTTAGCCTCCTTTATGCCCTATCATGGAAACCATTGCATGCTTGCTCTGAGGGCTTAGGAGCGTGAAAGGCAGTAACAGCATGGGGAGCTGGTTTGGGGGTGGCCTTGGCTTAGAATGGTTTCTAGGGGGCACAAACAGTTTGCTCTCGTCTATTAACCTGAAGGTTGGCAGCTCGAACCCACCTAGTGGCACCATGGAAGAAAGGCCTGGCTATCTGCTTCCATAAAGATTACAGCCAAGAAAACCCTATGGGGCAGATTTACTCTGTAACACATGGGGTCCCTGTGAGTCTAATAGCCACTAGTTATCCTATATACAAGGAGCCCCGGTTAAGCACTTGGCTGCTAACCTAAAGGTCAGCAGTTCGAACCCACCAGCCGCTCTGTGGGAGAAAGATGTGGCCGTCTGCTTCCATAAAGATTACGGCCTTGGAAACCCTAGGGGGCAGTTCTGTTCTCTCCCGTAGAGTCACTGTGAGTTGGAATCAACTCAGCAGGAATGGGGTTTTTTTGGTATCCTGCATAGCTGTGTGTTAGTTTAGATCGCTTTCCTTCCTGGGGCGTGACAGTGGACAGGTACACCTTTCGGGCACAGTCAGCCAACTCTGGGTGGCTGAGGGCCCAAGAGCTGGCGGGAGGGCACTCAGGTAGGAGAAGGGTAGGTGTCAGACAACAGCTTGCTTCCAGGTTTTGCCTTATCTGACTCTGCTCAGGTGGGGGTGGGAACTCCTTACTTGGAGGGGAGGCAGCAGAGAGGCGTGGAAGGAGCCTGGCCGATCCCGCCCCTGGCTGTCCTCCCCAGGGCAGCAGACTCCTGCTCTGAGCCCAGCAAAGAGCAAGGGTACCTGCACTTGTCCGGGGCGAGGTAAGCGCCCAGCCGGGCTGGACATTCCTTCTCCCTTTTAAGCCTGTCTCCTGAACCACGTGGCTTCCTATTATCAGAAGCCAGAACTGAGCTGCGCATCTGCCATACAGAGCCCTACGCAAAGGAGGCATTCTAGAGCATTGTGTCTTCCCCCAGGTCACTGCGGGAACCTGTCCCTCCAGTTAGAAAGACTGCCTTTTCTGGATGGACATTTCTAAAGTGATGCTTCCAGAATGAGAGCAGGGTGGGTTTTGTGGTGTGTGGCAGACATAAACTTTAGGACGAGGAGGTTGTGGTGTAATTTGGGCTCTTCCGGGGCCTCCCCACTCCCCGGTCCTAGGTGGTGGTTCCGTTGCCAGAGAGCTAAGTTTTTGGCCCAGGAAGCGTCGCTGTGCAGCTGAGCTGTGTTTTAAGCTCACTTCCTGTGCAGGCGCCCTCCCCCACTCCTGTGAGGATTGCCTCTAGACATGACTGGGCCGCTCTGCAGTAGCCTCTATTAAGAAACGTCTTTAAAAGATGCCGCTAACAGAATTTATAGTTTGAAAAACCAAAATGCAAAAAGTGACATGTGTTGGCGAGGATGTGGGGAGACTGGAACCCTTGTCCACTGCAGCTGGGAGTGTAGAGTGGTTCAGCCGCTAGGGAGACAGTCTGGTGGCTCCTCTGAAAGTTAAAAATGGAAGTGTCGGGTGACCCGGCATTCCCTTCCCAGGTTTCTGCCCCGAAGAGCTAACAGCAGGGACTCAGAAAGACACTTGCACATCGGTGGTCATAGCAGCATTGTTCTCAGTGGCCACAAAGGTAGAAACAACCCAAAGGTCCCCCAGCCGACGGAGTGCTAAAGAAAATGTATATCCACACGGTGGCATGTTTTTCGGCAGGAAAAAGAAATGCAGTACTGATACCTGCTACGACATGGATAAACCTTGAAAACATGCCACGTGGAAGAAGCTAGACACAAAGGGACAGATATCACATGATCCCATTTATATGAAGTGTCCAGAATGACAAATTCTGCTCTAGGGACAAAGTAGATTAGTGGTTGCCTAGGGCTGCCGGGGGATGGGGCTTTGGAGGGCATGGGGACGGACTGCTGACAGGTTTGGGGTTTCTTTTAGGGAGGGACGAGAATGTTCAGAAATCAGATTATGGTGATGATCGCACAACACAGTAAATATCCTAAAAACCACAGAAGTGGACACTCGAAAATGGTGAATTTTAAATGGCATGATGCATATCTCAATCTTTAAAAGTGCTATAAAGGGGAAAAAATACTGCTACTTCTTTCTGATTGTATGAGCGTCTGTTGCTCTTTCCCTGATTAGCTCTCCCTGCTGTGGGGGCTGTTTATATAAGCGTGGATTGTATCGTGAATGCCCCTGTGCCTGAACGTGTCAGGAATTTATTCTCTGTTTGCCTCTTCTGGCCAAAGGAAAATGGCGCCCAGTGCTAGCTGCGGAAGGTTGATTGTGGCGAGCTCCGTCTCTGGGAGAAGGGATGAATGTTTCGGGAAGGGTTTCTCTCTGTGCAGCGTTTTGAGACCTGTCTGACTAGAACAGCCTCATCATCTCCTTAAATGAGAATCTCGACTGGGGACTAGCTCTAGAGCCTCTCTCCGCTGTTATGACCGGTCTTGTGTTCTTACTCTGTCCTGTGGGGAAGCAAAGTCCCTCATCCTTTTTGTCCAGAATAATTTGGTGGAGGAAGTGGGCTGCCTCTTCCCCTCCGTCTGGTGATGGATTGAGCTCCCTGTGCAGCGCTGGGGAAGACAGCAGGGGCCTGGGCTGGTCCAAGTGGGAGCCTTAGAATCACCGTGCGTTGTTGAAGACTGGGCAGTGCTCACATACCGTGTTCAACATTTCAGCCTAAGAAAGAGATTCCGGCTAGTCCTTGCAGGACGAAGCTCCTGAATGATAAGGAGTCCCACAGAGAAGTGCTCCCTGAGAAGTCCAGAGTGGCTGTGGATGCTGTCACTGTGCCAGCTGGCGGAAGCCACTTGGTGCCGGGCAAGAGAGTGCGGCCCGTGCCGAACAAGGTGAGTCAGCAGGGGGCAGGGCTGGCGGCGACTTGTGATCCATGGGAATGGAATGGCTGCTTTGCATGCACGTGACGCAGCTTCTGATTAAAACCTAGTCTGGAAAGTTGAAAATAGAGCCCCTGGGCAGCAGCTTGGTGCAGCACAGAGAGTCCAAGCCTGCAGGTGTGAGGTGCGGGCTGGAGGCCGGCTCTGCCATTGGGAAGCGAGTGGCTTAGCAATCATTCCTGAACATCGGGGTCCGTGGTAGGGAGGCTCCTGCTCCCTGCCAGGGGCCCGCCCACCTGTGATGGGAGGTGGCATCTTTGATGAGCTGCAGCCCTGCACGGTGGGGAGATGGCCATCCGCAGCTTTGCTGTCACCCCCAGCATTAGTGGTCGGGCGGAGCTACCGTGAGAGTCACTGGCCAGCTTGTTAACACTGCCGGAAGCTGGGCCTACAGCCGTGGCCTCAGCGGGTCTGGGCTGGGCCTATAGCTGTGGCCTCAGTGGGTCTGGGCTGGGCCTACAGCCGTGGCCTCAGTGGATCTGGGCTGGGCTGGGCCTATAGCCGTGGCCTCAGCAGGTCTGGGCTGGGCTGGGCCTACAGCCGTGGCCTCAGTGGGTCTGGGCTGGGGCCCCCGAACCTGCATGTCTAAAAATCCCTGGCCCCCGACCCGGCCATTTCTGACGCATTGGTTTGAAGACTACACATTAAAAAACTCTTCTTGACTTTCTTCTTTAAATTCATGGTGAAATTATTAAAAGTTATTTTAAAACCCTGCTTTTTCAGGAGTGAGGAGTGGGTAGATAGTGGAGTCTGAGTGTTGTTTTTTAACCTTCCGTTTCAGTTGGGGCTAAGGAGGACCCTGTTGAAACCCCCCGGTCGCACTGGCAGTCTTGCAAGAAAGAGCTCGTCCTCGGGGTCAGTTTCGGGCGTGACTTCCCGTATGGGCACTTCTTCGGCAGGAGGCCAAGGTGAGGCTGACCACACCTTGCGGAGGTTTTGAATGGCCATCCCTCGGAGGCGGCTTTACAGAACCGCTCAGACTCTCTGGGCTGTGGACGGGGCTGGACAGTGGGGCAGGAAGAGACCGTGTCGGGGCCCTGGCCTCGCGGTGCATCCCCTCCCGTGAGCAGAGGCACACTCCCGTGGATGGTTTGGTAGAGCAGTGACAGGATGTGCGTGTGTGCCGCGTGCCCAAGACACACGGACATGCAGAGCGGCTTCCCTGCGAGTGTAGTCAGGTGCCGATCCCTAAAATAGGGCCATTCCAGATCATTTAGGGCATACGGCCCCTGGAACTCCAGGACAGTTTTTACATCCCCGCTCCCAAAAACCTATTGCTGTTGAGTTAATTCCAACTCATGGCGACCCTATAAGACAGAGCAGAACTGCCCACAGGGTTTGCAAGGCTGTAAATCTTTACGGAAGCAGACTGCCACGTCTTCCTTCTGCAGAGCGGCTGGTGGATTTGAACCACTGACTTTTCAGTTGGCAGCTGAGCAGTTTAACCACTGTACCACAAACCTGTTTAAATTCAGGCTCCATTTTAATTTCACCAAGCGAGCTAAGGGTGCCATCTAGTGGTAAAATAGAGAATCCCTGGTAGGCTGCAGGAAAGGCACTCGAGGTCCTGCTGTACCCCCTTTAAATTATACTTGCTGGGTGGGCTCTGACTACAGTTCCCTACAGCAGGACATGCATTTTGCTCACAAAATGTGAGAAGTATGGACTCTGGAATCGGACCGATGGCATTTGGAATCCTGGCTCTGTCACTCAGCAGTGGGGAGAACTTGAGTTTGTTTCCTCATCTTTACAAATGGATGCTGGTGCCTGGGGTGCAGTGTGGCTGAGCAGTAGATGCGGCGAGCGGGCCCGGCCTGTTCTCCGTCCCGTGGCCCCTGTTCAGTAAATGGCAGCTCCCGCTCTGACAGTAGCTGGCAGGAGGCGCAGCTCCCTGTCTTGGCGCCATGGGTCAGCACCCTCTTTGTTCACTATTTCTGCTGTCCTGCCTCTGGTAAAGGTGGAGATTGGACGGGGCTTCTGGGGTGTGTATATTTCCGTACTGTGCTCAGCAGAGTCACTAGGATCAGATGTTTGTGGGGTGGACATTGTAAAACTGCCCCGCGCTCTGTGAATATAAGCTGTGCTGTTAGTCATTCTCTTAAAGCTTTTCTTTAAGAATCTTCTGTCCAGCTGACTGTGCACTGGGTTTACTGGTCACAGTGTACCAGTTGCTGTCAAGTGATTCTAACTCATGGCGACCTTTGTGTCAGGGCAGAACTGTGCCGCATAGGGTTTTCATGGCTGTGACCTTTTGGAAGCAGATTGCCAGGCCTTTCTTCTGAGGTGCCTCTGAGTGGGTCTGAACCGCCAACCACCAGCACTTAACTATTTGTGCCATGCAAAGACTCCTGTTATATTGGTAGCTGAGTGTTTTTCATCTTAGTTTATCTCGTATTCTATTTTAAATAGTGTTCATGATTCACATAACCCAACTTACTTTTTGTAATTTAAAGAAACTGACCACTGACAAATGTCTTCTCTCCCTGTTCCCTTCCCCACCTCCCTGTCTGGATGGGGGGTAAACAGCTTGGTGACTAGACTATCCACTTCCATCTATTCAACTAGGGTAGATTTCTGCTGTCAGTACAATCAGTGAAGAGATAGAGCTTGAGTTTATGTATACTGTTACCCACCTTGGCAATTGTGGATAGAATTTGTGCATTTGAATACACTCAACAATATGGGCTGTCTGGTATTGGATGACGTTTCTTGACGGACACACAGACTATTGTTCATGTTCTGTTATGTTTTTCTTGTATGGATATCATCATGAGAGAAAAATGATTTTCTTCCTTTGAAAACATTTTAAGGTAGGTATGTAAAGATAGCATATCTTGTATTTGTTAAATAGCTTCCTAATTTAAAAATAATGTAAACTTGAATGATCGCTACATTTTGTGTGTCTCCTCTTGCAGCTCAATCAGGTGAACTAGTAAGTGTTCCTGCAGACGGTTCCCGGGCTGTGTCCAACAGGACTCTGAGCAGACTCGGACCCCCCACCCAGCAGCAGCCTTGGCGGTCAGGCCCTGCAGATGCATCCTGCGAGCACACAAAGTTGGCAGACGTTGCCGAGTTCACAGCAGAGCAGCCCGAGAGGCCCAGCACAGCTTCCTTCACGCAGCCGCAGACTCCAGACAATGCAGGCCTGAGGCTGGACTGCACTTTCAGTTTGCCAAGATCTTCTCAACTGAATACAACTGGAAGTACAAGAAGGCGAGATTCCTACCGAAATTCGAAGACAAAGATTGTACCTACCCCTACAAATCAATTCAAAATTCCTAAGTTTTCTACTGGTAAGTAATAGATGATTTTTAATCTGTTTTAAAAATACTGAAGAAATTCTGCTTAAAGTTTTAAAAAATTACTAGTTTTGGTGGTGGTGGGTTCTTTGCTTTCCTTGTTTTCTCACAGCGCTTTAAAGCTGTTGTTCCATTGTCTCCTGGCTTGCCCCGTTTCAGATGAGAAGTCAGTGGACATTCTTAGCTTCCGTTCGTTCCCCTGTATGGTTCACGTCACCTTTCTGTGGCTGCTCTTAAGATTTGCTCTCTATTGTAGTTTTCAGCAATTTGATTATTTCAGCAATTGGATGTGGTTTTCTTTCTTTTATCCTGCTTGGGGTTTCTTGGGATGTTTTGATCTGTTGTTAGGTGCCGTCAAGTCGGTTCCAACTCATAGCGACCCCGTGTACAACAGAACAAGACACTGCCGGGTCCTGCACCATCCTCACCATCATTGTCATACTTGTGCCATTGTTGCAGCCACTGTGTCCGTCTGTCTCGTTGAGGGTCTTCCTCTTTTTCACTGACCCTCCACTTTACCAAGTATGATGTCCTTCTCCAGGGTCTGTGGATCAACATTTTTAACCAAATCTGGAAACGTTTTGGCCGTCATTTCCTCACGTGGTTTTCCTGCCGTCCCTCTCTTTCCTGGGACTCTAACGAACGGACGTGAGGCCTCTTAGTGCTGTCTCGTACGTCAGCGGGGTCTGTTCTTCCTTCCCCAGCCCTTTTTCTCATGTTTTGATTTGGATAGTTTCTGTTGCTGTGTTCTAAGTGCACATATATTTTCTATTGCCGTGTGTCTAATCTGCGGTTAAGCCAATCCAGTTCATTTTTTTTTTCTGACAGAGTGTCTCCATTTTTCTCCTCATAGTGTTTACGCTGTTCTTTAAATCCTTATCAGTAGTGGTTGTTTGAAGTCCCTGTTGTTGTCGAGCCTGTTTCTATTGATGTCGTTTTTTTTTTTTCCCTGGTTGTGGTCACGTTTTCTTGCTTCTTCTCATGTTCAATAATTTTTTTTGGCTGCTGGTCATTGTGAATTTTACATTTTTCAATGTCTAGATTTTGTCGTCTTCCTTAAAGATGAATTTTACTTTGGCAGGCAGTTAAGTTGCGTGTCCACTTGATCCTTTCGAGACTTCTTTTTTAAGCTTTAGGGGGAGTGGATCTAGAATAGCCTTTACTCTTGGGGTGGTTTAGTCCTACTACTGATGTGTGGCCTTTCTGGAGTCTTAACTGCATGCCCTGTGTGTCCAGCGAGCTGTCTCCACTCTGGCCGGCCAGAACGCACACATTTCCCAGCCCTGTGAGCTCAGGTCCTTGTTCCCCAGTAGTTGTTCTCGACTCGACTTTATGGAGTCTTGCCCTGCACGTGTGCTGCTTAGTATTCAGCCCAGGACTCGAGGGATCCCTCTTAGGTTTCTGATACTCCGCCTCTCAAATCCCAGCTAATCGAGCTGAATTGCCATCACTGTCTCATCAGATCCATGAGACTGCCATGCTCTGCTCGGGCTCTCCCTGCCTGCACTGTCATGGTGTCTGGCAGCTGGCAGGTGGGTGTTCATTAACGGTTAAATGAATTAATCTCACAAATCTGTGTGACGTCGAAAGTTATGCAGAGCACGTTTACAGCGCACATCTACGATGAGGATTGACCTGGCCTCCTCTGTGAAATACACATGCTTTCCAGGGGGTTGGTGTTTTGAGGTTATCAGCACTGCTGGCCACTACAAGTGTCCCCGAACTCCTCAGATCCTCCTGTAAGAATGAGCCATTCCACTGAGTGTCTTCTGTGTGCTAGGTACTCTTTTAGGTACAAGAGCTGTAGTGGTAAGACAGATCCCTGCTCTCATGGCGTTTACATTTTAATGGTAAAAGACAAGCAATGTTATCAAATAAATAGAAATTTAGAACATAAGTATTATGAAGCAAATAAAAGAGGATGATATCAAAATGACTGGTGTCTGTTGGGGAGGAATTTAGACAGAGGGTCCCTTCAGATAAGATGGCCAGTGAAGGGTCCTCTCAGGAAGTGACATTGAGCTGATCTGACCCAGGAGAAGGCAGAGGCCATTAGAAAAGCCAGAGGGAGAGCATTCCAGGCAGAGGAAATGGCAAGTGCAAAGGTCCTGAGGCAGAAACATGTTTGACAAGTTCTGGGAACAGAGTGAAGGCTATAGTGTTGTTATAGTCGTTTGGGTTACATTTTGCCGCAAGCCCAAAGTAACATCACTTGTAGTGAAGATAGTTGTTTGCTCCCCTCTCAAATAAAAATCTAGGTAAACATTCCAGAACTGGCATGGCATCCCTTGCTGTCAGGGACCCAGGATTCTTGTTTGGCCATGATTAGCTTCCCTTCCTCATGGTCTAGTATGACTGCACCAGCTCCAGCCCTCACACCTTAGGCAGAGAATGGAATATATAAAGAAGAACAAACCCCTGCTTCTCAAGGATGCATGCTGGAGGTTGTACTTGTCACTTCCATGGCCACGACTTAGTCACATGACCACACCTAACTGCAAGGGAGGATAACGGTCAGAGCGCACAGTCTCACGGATTTGATGAGACAGTAATCGGAATCGCTCAATTATCTGGGATTTGAGGGGTGGAGTGTTAGAAACCTAAGAGGGATCCCTTGAGTCCTGAGCTGAACGCTAAACAGACACATTTAGGGCAAGACTCCATATAAATCCAAGTCAAGAACAACTACTGGACATGTTGTCTTCATTCTGCATCCAGCCAAAATCTTTTACTCAGAAGAAGAGGAGAATGGATATTGACTAAGAGCTAGCAACCTCAGCCAGGCCAGTGAACAAGGGGAAGAATAAAAAGGGATGAAGACAAGAGGTAGTCAGAGGCCAGATTGTTTAGTGCCCTGAGACGATAGAATGGACTCTGGAATGTGCTCTGAGTGCAGCTGGAAGTACAGGGAGGGTTCTAAGCAGGGCAGCAATATGACCTTCAAGAGATCACCCCACGGAGGAAGAACGGGCTGTCGTGCACAAGGGTGGACGCAGGCAGAAGAGTGCGGGGCCCTCGGGTGATCCAGACCAGCGACTGGGTGGTGGTGCTGAGGTGGTGGGAAGGGCTCTGAGCTGGGTGACATTCTGGCAGAGTAGGAGGCAGTGTGGGCGTGTGGAGAGGGCATGGAGTGACTCTGAGGACTTGGCTTGAGCACCTGGTGTCGCTGTTCATTGTGACGGGAGGGCTGGACACCTGGTGTCGCTGTTCATTGTGACGGGAGGGCTGGACACCTGGTGTCGCTGTTCATTGTGACGGGAGGGCTGGACACCTGGTGTTGCTGTTCATTGTGACGGGA